CCCCGTCAACAGTAACTAGTAAAGCTTGGAAAGAATATCACGAGAAAAAGGAAACTGAGAAAAATAAAAAAACAGCAAGAAAAAGACGAAAGAGCTAGACAGAGAATAGAAAAAAGAATTAAAAGAAACAGTTAACCAATGAAAAGAACAATAAAAGCAAGATTAAGAAAACTAAGAAAACTTTTCAAGAAGATTCGACTTCAGAAGAGTCAGATGTGGAGATTTCATACGCTGGAAAGTGATATTAGTTATAATTTCGAAGATGACGAAGAGAAACAACCAGAAAGAGAAAAAATAACAAAAACAAAGAATGAATAGACTGTGATTCTATAGACTCGGATTTAGAAAATTTGCCCTTAAGTAAAATTGCATCTTCAAATGCAACTAAACCAAATAAAAACAGGAAGTTTTCGATAGGAAATTTTGTAATAATTAAGTATGAAGGGGAGTATTTTCCTGGTAAGATAGAAAGCTTGAGAAAGAACGAGTACGAAATAAGTACAATGACATTGACTACTGGAAATTCTTTTAAATGGCCTAACCCGCCCGATAAAATTTTCTATAAGCCCAAGGAAATAATGGAAGTGATAAGGGAACCTATATGTTTAAACAAGAGAGGGTTTTATAGAATTCCAGAAATGGATAAATATTTGCCAAATATGTATGGCTTTTAAAACAGATCTCATATAATAGGTACTTAGGTAGTTAATCTTTACAAAAGGATCTCTTATAATTAATAAAAACTAACTAAATAATATTTACTACAAAAAGATCTCGTAGGTATATGCGCAAAAGCTACTTAGAAATTGAAAAAAGATCTCATTTACGTTGTCTGTTATGTTTTTAATTGAATTTACCTACTACAATTTAAGATAGACTGCAGAAATTATATTAGTACAAGGTAGTTACCTAGTTACTACTAGGTATGACTGATTGTTATATAGTTATAAAAATTCATAATTATTACGAAACTGGTTAGGAAATATTGTTTCCAAATAGATATTTGATTACGAACTGAAAGACTGATTTGATTACTAATAAATATTTAATAATTAGTTAAGTAAGAATAACTTTACTGTAAATATTGTTGATTATTGCAATTTAAACTTTTTGACAATTGTTTGTTACTTATATTGACCTTTTTTATTATAGTTACAAAAGTGTGTATGTGTGTATTTGTATGATTAATACACTTTACAAAGCAAAATATGGACATTGTACTGTGGACAGGACTAAATTAATACATATTAAACAGTTAATTTTATTTTAATGACCCACTATAGGGGGGGGGGGGGGTGATTTGGCAGATACAGATTATAGGTAATAGTCGATAACTGGGTGTCGGTAACTGGTAACTGTCGATGACTGGGTGTTGATTACTGGAGATTCGGTGTCGACGATTGGAGATTTATACACTTTTTCCTTTTTTGGGTTTTTTTTTCTAGTCCGTGTATAGTTAACAAAAATAATACATCCTATTCTTATCTCAAGAATATACCTTACCGTACTCAATCGTTACTTTTGGTTTAATGATGACTAAATGACCTTTAATTTTATAAAGAAGCCCACTATCTCCTTAAAGTGTCGATCATTGGTGCCACTACGTTATTACAATTTGTTTTTAAATAAATAAATAAAAAATATTATTATTAAATCAAATTACATATCCATGTAAGATTTTTCTGCATTATGTTGACGAAATTTCCTTTAACGTTCAGCATTTGATTTTGGTACTGTTTTTTGTTTTGTTTTTAGCGTGAGGTTTTTTTTTCGTTACGGAATTTCTGGATTCGGTCCCCGCGCTCAAGGCCCTCGATAGAAGCTATGCAATAGCTTAATAAATAATTATAATTGCATAAGTTGATAAAAAATGCTATGCAATAGCTTTTGCCGCGGCAGTCCCCGAGTGCCACACGTGTTTTTAGTAGGATTTTGGTGCGCTGAATCCAACTCCGGGCAGCAGATTGGCTCTACCACGTAACGTTTTTGAGATATTCTAACCTAAAAGTGTAATAAACGGCATTTTCGCCCATTTTTAGGGTTCCGTACCTCAAAAGGTTAAGAAAAGGAATCATTATAAGATCACTTTCTTGTCCGTCGGTCCGTGTGTCACCACCGATTTTCTCAGGAACGGGTAGACCTAGTATGTTGAAATTTATACCAGATACTGAGGTCTATGGTCCCTATTATTGAGGTTAATCAATCAATGATATTTGAGCAAAATCAACGTCATTTGAAAGCTAAAGACTTTAAGATACCTTGTGTTTTTTCAGGCATAATAAAATTGCGGTTTTTGCACTTTAAGATTAGAATATCTTAAAAACCTGACGTGATAGAGCAATTCTGAGACCGAATTTGGATTCAGCGCACCAAAATCCTTCAAGCGAGTATACTCTGGTTTCTGGGAAAGAAACTTTGTCAAATTTGGTTGGCCTGTGTAATTCTCACTAGTTCCATGTAACAACTACGGTGGAACTAGTCAGAATGTTCCACTAAATCGATGAAAAGCAACGAATTACTTAAGACCTGTTTTATGCGAAGCCTTGGTATCACTCCGGTCGAGCTTGCCTATTTGTATACTACTTCTCCCACTTTTAATATTTGGGTTAGATTCATTTCGTCATCATCATCACCAGCCTTTAATAGCCCACTGCTGGACATAAGCCTCTCCTTAGAAAGGAGGTTTTGGACTACTATACCACGCTGATCAGAAGGATTGGTATAGGGTTTGTTTCAAGTTTTCCTTCTTTTGCAGTGCTGTGTGGTGTCCGTGGACCAATCTCCATAATTTGTTTTTAATGTATACCATAAAATGGACAGTGTATAACCCTGATCTCCTAAAATGTCAGTAACTAGGTATATATATATATATATATATATATATATATTAGGTCTTTACCTATGAAATTGCCGTTTTGTATGCAATAAGTGAAAGTACTTGAACTTGAAAGACCTTGCACCTACCGACTATTACTTTTTCCAAAATTTAGACAACTTTTTAGTGGGTAAAAAATTCAATTCCCGAGAGGCAGTACAAAATGCCTTTGAAGAGATTGTTGCCTCCCGTCCAGCTGATTTTTACAAGAAGGGCATCAATAAACTGCCAATGCGTTGGCAAAGATGCGTCGATTGCATGGGTGATTACTTCGAATAACAGAAATAAAAAAGTTTGAAAAAATAAGTACTTTCACTTATTGCATACAAAACGGCAATTTCATAGGTAAAGACCTATTATATATATGTCAGAACAACAATTTGTGGATCACACAAAGTGTCGTCCCATGTGGGGATCGGACCCACAACACTCAGCGTAGTAGTGAGCGGCGTGGCGACCGCTTAAACCACTCCGCCATTCGTGCAGTCAACTCTAAAAGTTCTGCACCGAATGAGCTAAAATTTTGACACAATATGCATCCTGCTTCAAAGATTGTTTTACGTTAGTTTTTTTTCCAATTTCTCATCAATGCTAACACGTTGTGCCACTGCGTGGCTGGTTACAGCTTGCATTTTCTTTCTCTAATCGTATTAGAATAATAATTCATTTGAAATTTAGCAAAGTAATTATTTTTATAATATATATATCTCACACACTCACACACGGCCGTCTGATCCCAAACTAGGCAGAGCCTGTACTATGGTAACCAGACCGCTGATAAACATACTTATATATTTCTAAATACATACATATAATAGATAAATTACACCCAGACACAGAACAAATGACCGTGCTCATCACACAATATTTGTCCTGGGTGGGAATCGAACCCACGACCTCCGGTTTAGCAGTCAGGGTCACTAACCACTAGACCAATGTCCACGTGACGTCATCATGTATAAACAAAATGGCGTCCCATTTTGAAAAAAATTTAAACGCATTTAAATGAAATTTATCGATCTGTTTTAATTTGATTCAATTAAAATATTTTTCTAAAAAAGGGTATTGTAATACCTTATTGCTCTCTTATTGTAAAAACGTCATAAGAGACATTTATTTAACAAATTTCTGAAAAATTTTGTACAAATATATTTTTACCGATTAGTCGGTAAAGCCGAAAGCTACTGTTGTAACAGGATGAAGGATGGACTATTCGATTAGTCGGCCTTCTTACAACCGACAATCGACTAATCGGCCAAAGTCATGACCGGCACATCTCTGTATAACCACTTGGGAATCGAACTCGTACATTGCAGTGGATAGGTGGAACACGTCACTGAAATACTATCAATGTGACATGATTTTACCTTTGAGATCTCAAAGGTAAAATCTGCTGTATGTAGGTTCGATTCCCGACTATCACTTTTTGGAATAATGCACAAAAGTAAACCAATCATATGATATCCTGTAACATATTTAAATCTAGATTTATCTGTCAAGATTTAAGCTCTAATATTAAGATACATATCGACCCCCATTATAAACCTAAAAACATCAAGATAATTAAAAATAGATATATTATTATATTCATACATAAAAATAATTGCACTCAGCGGGCAATCGAACCCGCGACCCCTCTGTAGCCAAGATGCCGTTGCTCTGTATTCTTCTGTAGTTACCAAATTACAGCAGTGACTTGTACTGCTGCAAATATTCTTCTTCTTCGATGAGAGATGTGTCCAAGTAGTCGTCTTCTTCTGTCTTGATGGTTGACGTCAGGCGGCGGAGGGCCTGCTCCCTCTCTTTCCTTAAAAGAAGAAGATATTATATTATCACAAAGGCTTAAAGACGGGTCTGTTGGTTTAGTGGGATTTAGCGATCTTGACTGGCAAGCCGGAGGTCGTGGGTTCGATTCCCACCCAGGACAAATATTGTGAGACAAGCACTTTTGTTCTCTGTTTGGGTATAATTTATCTTTAATATGTATGTATGTGTGACGACCGAATGGCGTAGTGGTTTGTGTAACGGACTGCTATCACAAAGGTCGCGGGTTCGATTCCCGCTCAAGTCAAACGTTTGTGTTCATGAACATTTAATATTTGATTTGGTCTGGGTGTTCTATGTATAATAAGTATGTATTTACAAAAAAAAAGTGTATATGTATTTATATCAGTTGTCTAGTACCCATAGTACAAGCTCTGCTTAGTTTGGGACTAGATGGCGTTGTGAATGTGGAAAAAAAATTAGAAATATAGAAGTATGTTTATCAGCAGTCTGGTTACCATAGCACAGCCTAGTTTGGTTTCAGACTGCCTTATAATATATCTTCTAGAAGAGAAAACACACCTTTTATTATTCTTGTGAAACTTCTGTTTCTTCCTGGCTGATCCAGCGCTCGTGGATGGGTTGCCAGAGTCTTCGTCTACAAAATAAAATACTGTATCTCAAATATAACAAAAAGAAAACATTAATATTTGCAAAGAAGCATGCAGAATTATTCAACTATTTCTATGTTCTAGATATTTCTAGAAAGATATACCTTTTATCAAATCATCAGCCAATAACGGTCCACTGCTGGACATAGGCCTCTCATTAAAGGAGGTTTTGGCCTACTATACCACGCTGGCCAGACGGGTTGGTATAGGGTTTGTGTCAAGTTTTCCTTCTCTTTGCACTGCTGTTAGTTTGCTCCTTTGGTCGGCTCTTAAGACACCCACGGGATGAATAGGGGTGGTGACATTCCGTATTCTTAATCCACCACACGGGCTATTTATCAAATAACCAAGAGGTATAAACAACTCAGAGACATTTTAGTTCTATTATATAAAACTAGCTGACCCTGCAAACGTTGTTTTGCTATTTACATTATTATTATTATTATTTTTAATTTCTTAAAATCCGTTCTTAGCTGAACTCTACTCGGTGAAAAGAATATTCCTACCAAATTTCAAGTCTTTAGCTCTAATGGTTCCAGAGATATCGTGATGAGTGACTATATACGTGGAAATCTCTTAGATATATATATATATATATCTTTATATATATAATTCTTCTGTGAGTGTGTATGTCACTGAACTTCTCTCAAACGACTGGACCGATTTTGATGAAATTTTTTGTGTGTGCTCAAGGGGATCTGGGAATGGTTTAGATTCACAATTTTGTCCGCTGGACAATGCTTTTTTAATTAATTTTTAATTTATTAGTAGTTGTTGATTTTGGAATGTTTTACATTGGATCAGACAGACGGCGCTACCATCGCAGTGTCAAATTTGACAGGACAACGTCTGTCGGGTCCGCTAGTATATATATATATATTAGATAGATGATATTTACATAGCAGGGTTTGTTGTTAATTTATTATTAATATTGATGTAATTACGAAACTCGGTTCGTAACAATATTACTTGACCAGCTTTTACCAGCTCCGCCCGCTAATGTATCTGTTATCGCGGTAAAATCAGCCTTTGTTTGTCCGGAGTAACAACAAGACCACACAGAAAACGTCTGTTAAGCAGTTTTTCCGTCGCTTTCCACCGAGTGAGGTTACCGGAGCCAAAATATCCCCCACATCACATCACACATCAACAGCCTTTAATAGTCCACTGCTGGACATAGGCCTCTCCTTAGAAAGAAGGTTATGAAGGTTAAGGTTAGGTTAAAGAAGGTTAAGGTTAAGGGTTTAAATATCCCCCTTCTAACTGATTTTCGGGGCAGCAACGTTCTTGCAGGAACGGTACCTAGTCACTTATCATCTACTGAACCGTCTGCTCGTTCACCCATATGCCATAAAAAAAAAACTACCACAAATTCCTTATGCAGCACTTCAATAACGCGATTCAGGCCAAACGCCCTCTCTCGAGCACACACTCACAACTTTTATATCAGTGTTCTCTAAGCATCTTTTATGCCCCTTTCGCCCTGGTGGAAGTACTCACTGTTGATAATATGTCCTTGGCAAGCCACGAGTCTGTCGACTGCGCCGCTGATGTGGTTCCTGGACAATCGCAGAGCAGCCCTCGCCTCCTCGGCCTCGTAACCCATCATTTCTAACTGCAATTTAAGATAAATATTCTTTTCGTAGAAGCCATACTTCAGCAAATATGGACCAGGCTCGAGCCTCACAGATAACCTGAGTGATAGTGAGGTTCCCGGAGCCCAACCTTCCTGATTTTGGAGGGAAAGACTGAAAAGGTGGTAACTTTTAAGTTGGACGTGTCCATGGGCGGATACCATCAGGTGACCCGCCTGCTCGCTTTCTCTGTTATTACTACAAATGCTTACTGCTTACATCGGAAATTAATGAGAAAATAACACTAGTGCCATTTCTTGGCTGACGAGGACGTTTGATCTAGCCTAGAAAAAAATTAAGGTAAGGGTAATTGAGGTAATTACGGTAATCAAGATAAGGGACCAACCAAAACACGTGTATTTAATTTATATGTATGTTTACTCATTGATGCATTACCGGCTCGATTAGAGAGATTTAGTCGGCTTACGACACCCGCGGGGAGAATAGGGGAGATGACACTTCGTATTTTTGACTAGCTGAGACCCGCGGTGGTACCCGCGTTTGTTGTTATAACCGCGGGCAACGCCGCGGGGCGAAGCTAGTCTAAAAAAAGTAGCCTAAGTTACTCCTTATATCATCAGCTATCTGCCAGTGAAAGTCCCGTCGAAATCGGTCCAGCCGTTCCAGAGATTACCCGGAACAAACAGACAGACAAAAATTGATTTTTTTTTTATTTTGGCATATGTACCGTGTAAACATACATATGCATTTAGTGAAAAGCCGGTATTTTAATATTACAAACAGACACTCCAATTTTATTGATTTGTATAGATCTGTCACCACACGGACAAATCCAGAAATATAAAAATAATTAGGAGGGACTTACCTCGGCAACCAGCTTATTGTCAGGCTCAACCAAAGACTCCTCAGAGCTATGTGACTTAGATTCATCAGACGATTCATCTGTATCCTGCAACTGTAACAAAACTTGGTACTTGTAGAATTACGTTAATACTGTGAAGGCGAAAGATGGTGCAGGTATTGATGTTTTTAAAGAAGACACAGGGATAGCTAATAGTCCAAAATAATATAGCTTTATGGGTATACGAATGAATGATGATGAACGAAAAATTGACCGACAAAATCTACATTGTACGACAAGCGAAATTGCGAAAAAAAACTAGTTTATACAGGAATGATGTAACGCCGATATTTTCAACAACAATACTAGACTCAAAAAAACAGTATCACTTTGGTCAAAATTTAATTTCCAGAATCCGGTCTGAAATAATAGAGAAAGATAGGACAACAATTGACTCACCAATTCTGGCTGCTCTTGAATAAGTCTGACAGCCTCAGCAACATGATTATTGGAGTTTCTTAACGCCGTCGCGGCCAGACGTCTCGTGTAGCCCATCCCGACAAGACCTTCCACTAGTTCTTGGTTCACCGCAGACCCATCCATGCACACGCCAAGAAGCCGACGCTGTCTGTGTATGTAAATAAGTTTTTAAACATCTAATTCTATAAGTGTTTTAGGATCCTTAATGATTATATTGAAAATAAGAATTTAAATAAATGAGACTAAAGAACACCAAGGATTTTAACATCGTGTTTTAATAATGATGAGGATTGAGGAATCTCTCCGAAGCTTTTGATAGAGTAGACCTTATTAAATACTCGTTTTCTTAAGTGTTTTGATGTAAGGTGATGATTCTTACGACTTTCGATCTATCTATTTTTAAACATTAATTATATTATTTGTCAATTGATGACCTAGAATTCTATAGTCTTCGATCAATTTTGACTGCACGGATGGCGTAGTGGTTTAAGCGGTCGCCACGCCGCTTCCTACTACGCCGAGTGTTGTGGGTTCAAAATGAAAAAAAATTGGTCCTCCATTCAAATGACCAATCAAATGTTATAAGTTTGTATGGAGAAACATTTTTTTTTCTTTCGTTTTCGGCGTTAGTCCAGAAGAAAAGTTGTTGTTTATAATGTTACTAATATGCACTTCAGAGGTTTTCAGTAAATTTAAAATAATCCTGAATAATGGTTATTAGGTAGCTATGAAAAACTATTGAATTCTGTTCAGATTACTTTTTATTTCTTAATACAAATATATGGCACCTTTGTATTGCAATCATTTATCGTACTACACTAAATCAACTAGGCAGGTCGTAGGTATTGAAAGAGCTATCTTTATAATGAGATCAATCAAACATCTTTGTATTAGCTTATTAAAATAATGAAATATTTAAATATCAACGGCAAAGCGTCAAGTGGCGACAACTATCAAGGTCACGGGCTCCGATTGAGTAAGAAACTTAAGATCCGTATCCGCGGATCTTGACACCAAATATCCGTATTCGGATCCGTATCCGCGGATATACTTTGTTAACGATCCGGCACATCACTACTTTCGATCTATCTATTTTTAAACACTAATTTTATTTGTCAATTGATGACCTAGAATTCTATAGTATTCGATTAATTTTATGAAGAGTGCCACAGGGCGTAGTCTTGGTACCGACATTTTATGACCATAATGTTTCTAATCGTTTCGAATTGTGATTACTTAAGTAGTTTATAGGACTCGATAAAATAATTTTTATGGATTATTTTAAAAGCTTTTGTAATTCGATTACAAATTATAAATAAAGTTTACGTCTGTCGTCATAGCGGTATGTAGTCGTTTAAACAACGTTCAACTCATAGTAAACGTAAGAAGCTATTAAAACATAGAGAAAAAGCAGTAAATTTATAAAGGTGCCACAAATCCTAAAAAAATAGATGGAGAATGTGAAGTACCTTTCCTGTCGATGTGCGTCGCGCGCCTTGTCCCTCGCCGCCTTCCTGTGCGCGAGGTAGTGGTGCGCGCGCTCGGCGCAGCCCTGGGCGCGCAGCCCCGCGCGCGCGGCGCCGCGCGACCAGCCCAGCTCCATCAGCCCCAGCACCGCGCTCTCGTCCACCTGCCGCACACCACTCCTTCGGTATCTACTAAATATCTATTACTACCCCGGGACCGTCCCACCTAGCCGGTCTCAGTTCAGTTCCTTATCCGACTTACGGTACCCTGGCTCCTTCTTCGTACTTGTTTTTTTAAATCTAAGCGTACGATGGGTAAAGGCGACAGGTAAATTGTAACTTTTTCATTTGCCCAATTTGGAAACGATTACATTACCGATGACAGTTACGTCACGGCTGGCCATAAAGAGATGGTATGTTGCTCATTACGCTGATCCAAATTCAATTGGGAAAAGAATAGGTAAATAATGTTATGATACGGTATGTTCGATCCAACTTACCCTTAATTCGTTTAATTCATTTTCTGCTTTCTCCAAAAGCATCTTTGCTTCAGCCCTTTTGTTTTGGTGATACGCCACGATGCCTTGCAGTAAATGTAAGCGCATTATAAGCACTCTTTCATTCGCTATAATAAAAATATTACGTGAAAAACTAAAAAGAAAACAACAAAGATTTAGAACTCACTATGTGCCAATATCCACCTTCCTGGCTTTGCATCAAACCATCGTTACTACATACTACATAGAATATCCGTGTGGTGACGGATTAAGAATACGGATTGTCACCACCCCCATCTATCCCATGGGTGTCGTAAGAGCCGACTAAGGGAGCAAACTATGCAGGACAACAAAACTGCAATGAGAAAGAAAACTTGATACAAACCCTATACCACCCGTCTGGCCAGCGTGGCATAGTAGGCCAAAACCTACAAGACCCTTAACCTTTAACCTCCTTTCTAAGGAGAGGCCTATGTCCATCAGTGGACTGTTAGAGGCTGTTGATGATGATAGAAGACAATTCAACACATTTATTAATTACTAAGTGTATAATACAGGTCTTATTTCATATAGGTACTTAGTTGCATTTTTCAAGCATTTTAATGTCACATTAATAATTAATAAATAAACTGTAAACTATGGTCAGATTCATAAAGATTAAAATAATACTTGGATTCACTTCCTGGCATCATCATCAGATTGCATTAATAATGTCAGTTTTTAATATCGTCAACCAAACTATAAGCGATACGTCAATTAGAAATGGGTTAAAATTGACTGCCAAGATTTGTTTATAATGTATAATCTACATATATATAAAATTGTATCCCTATTTTCTTCTTTTTTGTGAGGTTTTCTAAGTATTTGTAGAAGAAAAATTTAAAATTGAGCAATGAGAGTAGTATTAAAATTAAGCAACAGAAAAAAAAACAATTCTGAGAAAATCATACAAAAAAATTAAAATTTCGAAAATTTGCAAAAGAAATGACTAAACTCAGATTCACAAATGACTATTAAAAAAAGACAAAATTGACAATAACGCTATCGAAGCTGCAAATATAAACTAGGGTTTAATAATTGCTATTAAAGCGTAATAAAAAGATGTCATAAAGTAATGAATAATATTTATACTTAAAAAACATAAAAGTAATTAAAGATTAAAATTTAATTTCATAGTTTAATAAAGTTGTAAAGCATTTGATACAGTAAGTCAAAATATTCTGTTAAAGATACTATACTACCAAAAGCTACTATCTTCAGTAACGAAGTTCTTTACCTTTCTCTCATGCCCTAGTACCATTGGTCCATTGTAAACGAAAAAATCATAAATTTGCTAGAAAATTCAGTTGGAGTATCACAAGGTACCTTGCTTGACCCAACTTTTTTATGTGTGATAAATAGTTACAATAAAAGTTGGGCTACTCCTATCCTATAATTGTATTTTCTTTTTAACTTTCAATGCACTTCAAATTTTCCTATCCAAATTCTACAATGCCTGGTTCATGGCAATAGGCTTCCCAGTATTATGTAAGTGGGGCTATGTAATTACATTTGAGCCTTTAATAAACCTTTGCCTATCACTTCCGGGATATGGGTATGCAAACAATATTACGAACTAAATGTCTTAAATGATTCGATTGTTATTCAAAGAACATGTCTTTTAAGAATAGAAATTTCTTACCCGCACTGCCTTTTAAGGCAATGAGTCTTTCATGATTAACCCCATAGGTTTCTTTGAAAGCTGCATCCGCAGTGGCCAGCCTGGCTGCAGCATCTCCAGCGTGAGGTAGACTTTGCAAACAAAGGTAACACCAGGACACATCCAGCTGGAGGACTGCCAAATTGTCCACTGACTTTAAGATTGAGGATCTGCATTCACTGCAAAGAGATTTTTAGCTATGGAATTTGCTTGTCAGTTACACGTTGAAGTTATGACCACAAGAACTGCAGAAGTTGGAAAAGGTTGCGTATCAGTATGTCCATTTTCTGGGACTGTCACTGGGACAGGGACACCAGCTTCTCAATTCCGAAATATTTTCAATACCCAACATATTAGTATACAAAATATATTATTATTTCTACACCCATTACCTGAATTGTCTGTCAGCTTCCAGCAACAGTACCAAAGCGAGCGCGTAGTCTCGCTGTCGGGCCGCAGCTCTCCCCCTCTCGTGAAGCGCTAGCCCCACAAGGAGTGATCGTCTCTCTGCAGGAGGAAGTTCTACGACCTTCCCCGATTGGTCCTCTAACTACAAAAATACAGCAAGACTTAAGACTTCTGAACAGATTACGCTGTCAGCCGACAGATAATGTTTTTTTTTTTTTTTTTTCCTACCGCAATCACAAGCGCGCTGCCAGTCTTTGAGGAAGAAGTACGCTCTTTTCTTGAAGGTTTGAAGGTCTTATCGGTTCCATAATATGTATGTATACCTCAACTTAACAATATGATACCCATATATAACAAAAAATAATAATTACGCAAAGCAAAATGCTTACAATACTGTTCCTCAAACTGATTTTCGTAAAGTATCTCTCTGTCTATTTAGATGTCTTTAATAAAATATTATCTACAGATGGCCTTAAAAATAATACGTTTTCTTGTCGACATAGCTTCTTTCACAAAGACCAAAACTAATATATTTTGTATGTGTTTTCCATGTGGTGAAGGATTGAAGGATCACCACACCTATTCCCGACGGATTAAGAAGAGTCACCACCCTTGGGTGTAGTCGACTATGTCACTATGACACTGCAAAGAGAAGAAAAACTTGACACAAACCCAATATCAACCGGTTTGGCCAGTGTGGTATAGCAGACCAAAATCTCCTTTTTAAGGAGATTTTGGTCTGCTATGTCCAGCAGTGGACTATGAAAGGCTATGGGATGGATATGTGTGGGATGTGATGAAACATCTGTCCTCTGGTTTTCCTGCAATTCTTGAGACTGATTTTGGAAGTTGGTGAAATGCGCGCGATAGGCTAGTTGACTCAATTTGAAAACTTGGTTAATTATATACTTTAATATCTATTTTATCCCAAAAAACCTATATTTTAAAGAAAAAGCAATATTTACATTACGTATTTTGTATTAAAAAAAACAATTTAAATTTCCCTTGACTGAATAGTGTCATGGCGTCTTGAATGACGTCACAGTCTGCCAAACAGAACTGTTTACATCTGTGTCCAGTGTCAACTGAAACTGTATTGAGGCGAGAAAATATGCTAAAAACGAAACACAATAAATAACCTGCTCAGTTGTATGAAAACGTCAACAACAACAATGATGTTTTGCGTGGCGTGACGTAACACTTTCTGATTGGTGTTCGCTGTCACGTGACTTAATGCCTATTTTGTTCGATTTTTTTTTAAATATTAATAATAATGATCTTTAACTTTTATGAGAAATAGACTGATTTTTTCTTATCTATGTCTCTTCATTTATAATTTGAAACTTTAAACCAAGCAATTTGTTATTAGTGGACACAAGCCTATTGGATGTGACCAATGAGTCGTGTTACAGTACGCCATCAAAGACTACTGTAACTTTCGCTCTGTTTTTAATAAGAATACTGTTATTGACAAAAAATGGTGATAAAGAAAAGATTCTGACCCTCATGTATTCATCATCATCATCTGCCACATCGTCGACATACTCCGAGAGCAGCATCGCATCATCACGGACGGTTTTCATCTCCATGTACATGGTGTCTTCTTTCTTCACCTCTTCAGGACTCTCTGTGAATTACATTTTGAACATAATTTACTTATTATTGCACGAATGGCGAAGTGGTTTAAGCGGTTACTTCGCCGCTTCCTACCATTTGGGATAACACTTTGTGTGATCGAAAAAATGTTGTTCTGAGTCTGGGTGTTGCGTCCGTTTCATTAATGTTTGTAAAGTCGCCCTTGCCACAGGACAGTGCGGGAGTAGTCATCATCAACAGTCTTAAACACCACCTGCTGCCACACCCACTGCTGAACATAGGCCTCACCTTAAAAAGGAGGTTTTGGCCTACTATACCACGCTGGCCAGACGGGTTGGTATAGGGTTTGTATCAAGTTTTCTTTCTTTTTGCAGTCCTGTTGTCCTGCGTAGTTTGCTCCCTTAGTTAGCTCTTACGACACCCACGATGATTGCGGGTGGTGACAATGCGTATTCTTTTTACGCACTCTTGACTTGGGGAGTCAGCTGACGAGAGCGTTACGAAAAGTGTGATCGGGCGAGGCGAACGGAAGTTGAATGAGAGATATAAGTTAGTGAAGATAGAAAGAGAGTTACGTTTCGTATTTACTGTAGGGGCAAGAGAGAGAGAGGTGCGAGCACACATTTTCTTTCTCTCTTTCTCTCTTAGCCATGAAGTTTTACTTCAGTCGTGTGGTCTAAAGCACACTTGTTTTTTTTATAATAAATGCCACATTAATTCAAACAGTCATCTACTTTTATTCGACAGTAACAGGTACTATTATCTGGTTAATACTAATATAAAGATACAGACCTGCCATCACTAGCGCCATAATCATGGCCCCATTTTTAACTCCTTGCTCCTCCAAGGTTGCGGTTGCTTTTATCACTTTACCATTTACTATTAATTTAACTCTGTAAATAATATAAGATCTTTGTTACTAAAACATTAAGTGTTGGGCCATACTGATCAATAATTGAAAAAAAAAACGCTCCTACGCTTGGAAATTATATTAGTGTAAGTCTATGGATTTCAAGGGCAGCAACGCACTTATGACTTTTGAGTTGCAGGTGGGCGGCGGTAGTTGCTTACCATTAGGTGACCGGTCTGCTCGTTTGCCCCCTTATACCATAAAAAAAATAGTGTAATTAAACAGTTTAAACGTGAAATCCTTAACATACTTTAAAAATTTTTAAAAATTTTAGAAAATAGATTTACTAAAAAAAAACATTTACTAAAATAAACTTACTACATTTATTAAAATAATTTAGTTTATAATTATATATTTTTTTTAAATATATCTTGTTTTCTTTTATGACTTTGTGTCCTTTTTAGAGGAAAATGAGCAGACAGGTTACCTGATGGTAAGTAACTACCGGCACCCATGGATAAACCTATTAATCAAAAGTCACAAGTGTGTTATGGCTCCGGTACTCGGTCAATTGCAACATTTTTAAATCCTTACTACATAATATGTACCTGTTCACCGCAACGTCAATCTCACTTGCAACGGTTGCCATAAGCTCACTACCTAATACTTGTAATTGCTTCTGAATCTTCAACATCCTCGGTTTCACTCCTGGGATAGTCGCTTTCACTCTGAACGTAGCACATCCCGTCTCTTTGAACTCTTCATTGGCCTTTGATCTTTCAATAGAGTGGATTTGTAATTCACGTAACGCTTGCAACACAACTTCATTGTCCAACGAAAGATCATTTGAGTATTTGATTGAGAGATCCTGTAAATTATCGTAAATATTTTTAACATTTTTTTACATTTTTTAACATTTTTAACATGTAGCTAACATGTGTGTGGTGACGGATTAAGAATACAGAGTGTCACCACCCCTATTCATCCCGTGGGTGTCGTAAGAGGCGACTAAGGGAGAAAACTACGCAGGACAACAGCACTGCAGAGAGAAGGAAAACTTGAAACAAACCCTATACCAACCCGTCTGGCCAGCGTGGTATAGTAGGCCAAAACCTCCTTTCTAAGGGGAGGCCTATGTCCAGCAGTGGACTATTAAAGGCTGTTGATGATGATGATGATTGAATCTGTGTGGTAACGGGTTAAGAATAGGGAGTGTTACAACCCATACGGGTGGTGGACGAGCCTGTTGGTCTAGTGGTTAGTGACCCTGACTGCTGAACCGGAGGTCGTGGTTTCGATTCCCACCCAGGACAAATTTTGTGTGATGAGCACAGTCATTTTTTCTGTGTCTGGGTGTACTATATCTATAATATGTATCTATTTAAAAATATATAAGTATGTTTATCAGCAGTCTGGTTACCGTAGTATAGGCTCTGCCTGATGATCAGACGGCCGTGTATGAGATGTGTGAGATATATTATTTTCAACCCCTGGGTGTCGTAAGAGCCGACTAAGGGAGCAAACTGTGCAGAACAACAACATTGAAAGAGAAGGAATTCTTGAAACAAACCTTATACCAACCTGTCTGGCCAGCAGGATATAGTAGGCTGAAATGCCTATGTCCAGCAGTGGATTAATAAAGGCTATTGATGATGGTGATGATAATTGATATTAAACTAAAGCAGCGTTTCTTTGTGTTTTGTAGAGTTAAACATGAATTTAATTTTACTGTGAGTTTAAACTGTTAAAAGATAAAGGCAGCAAACATACAGAGGTGTCACCTGTTGTTTTTTTTATAATAACCTGAAAATTTTACAGATTGTCGTCTGATATTGAGGTAGAACCTAGGCTACGGTAACTAGAGTACTGAAAAACATACTTATATATTTCTAAATATTATTATTCCCAAATGCAAAACAGGAGTTTTTTTTATTAAAGGGTTTTGTTGCTGTGCGACTGCATCACTCGGTAACAATACGAATTCATAATTTAACATAGTCATCACTCTACTAATTTATACAATTTCTGGGCTTCAACCAACACAGCATTGGCCAGAATATTATTACAAGGGCTGATATTCATACCTCTCAAGACTCTTAACTTTTGTTTCCTACACATTCAAAATTTGTAATACATATTCGGTCACACCACAGTCATGACACGTTGGAGATGAGACTTTGTCCATTAAAAATCTGAATTTCTTAGAAGCTACATGACCAGTTTGATAGTGCAGTGCAGTTACCAAAACTTTCCTTTTAAGTTCCACGTTATAATCCACAGGCATCCAATCCACATCCAAGTGACGATGATAATCAAACCGACAACCGCTAGGCTCAGCAGTCAGATAACGATAGGCAATCTGATCGGTTAGACTGACTACACTAAAAATTCCCTTTTCTCATTTAAATTAAATAGTATATTTACATTTAAATATTTCATCAAGCTGCTTTCATTAGTAGGTATCTTCATAATTAATTTATCAGATTAAAAAGTAATCATAATCTATGGCAAATTCAATAGTAGTTAAAAAAACTAACTTAATTAATTTCTATGGACATACATACAAATATCTGATGTCTAAATGTCAAAGATATTATTGTAAACCTTGAAATTCTAACCCCACAGAGACGTTCATGTAAAACAGCAATAAAAGACTCCAAACTGTTTAAACATGACTCACGCTTCCCGCGTTGGGTGTCATAAATATCAGACAAAAATGTCCTATGTCATCCTGCCTATTTATATCACAGAGTTATTTTTTTTAATATAAAAATATCTTTGTGTTTAGAAAACAACGACAACAAATAAAAACAGTAATTATAATACATGGATATGAAGAAGGAACAAACAAAAACAAACTCGCAATTGTTAAGATGATCTTAAATAATAATTGTCCCGTCCTGACAGAAGGTTATATGTATTTAGAAAACAAACAGTTATAATATTTTTACAGATTTTTATATCTGAATTCCTGTAGGATATGCTGAAATTTCGAGTCTGCACATTATAGTAGAATAATAATTAAGAAACATGATACAATGTTTAAATTGATGTGTTTTAAATTACATTTTAAACAAACATACTACTTAAATTTTAATTTTTTTAATACTTAAATCACAATGGAATAATTTATAGGTTGTTACAAGTAACAAAAGTATATTTTATTGTTGTACCTTGAGACTTTGCGAAACGTCGTTGTCTACATTGTACGGCGATTCCCATAACTTTATCTTCTCTTCGTTTAGTTTAGCTCGCAACTTTATTAATAAATCTTCGTGCTGAAGATTGGTATCCATTGTTTGTTTCCTAACCGGAATGACTAGTGAAACAAACAAAATATTTTTCTCATATCACTATTTTGACAGATTGATCAGACAGATGAAATGAGTGTGGGTTCATTTTACGCACTTTGTGATACTTTTTATGATACCTGTATTTTAACTCAAAACTGAAATTCTGATTGGAAATTGTTCTATTCTATAAGATTCCAAAGGAAATCTATAAAGCATTAATAATTTTTTTCTTAATCTACTAAGATGGCAAACAAAAACACGTACCAACTAGTGATAAAATAAATGTTAGACGTAATACAAAACAGAAAGCATGTGTAAAATCGTGTTTATGTTAAAAGACTATTTGATTAATTGATTGAAATTATCCTCTTATTGAAATTTCCGTGTGGTGACGGATTAAGAATACGGAATGTCATCACCCCTATTCGTCCCGTGGGTGTCGTAAGAGGCGACTAAGGAAACAAACTACGCAGGACAACAGCATTGCAAAGAGAAGGAAACCTTGAAACAAACCGTATAGGGTTTGTTTCAAGGTTTCAACCCGTCTGGCCAGCGTGGTATAGTAGGCCAAACCCTCCTTACTAAGGAGAGACTTATGTCCAGCAGTGGACTAGTAAATGCTGTTGATGATCCTCTTGAAATATTAGTCAAATTTGAATAGTTTTGTAGCGACTTCCACATACCATGAAACTACAATGCCATCTAACGAACTACGGATTAACTGCTAATCTTATCGCGATATTAATAATTCTCTCGCCGATTGGCATATATATATGCATAGGCATGATCATCTTGCCTGGTCGGAGGATTCTCATGCTGTGTTGGAAGGGGCCACAGTTTTATAAGCTGCAGGTTACAGTGTTACTGATAGTGAATGTTAAGGCAAGTTCAACTACGAGAACAAATAGTTTTTAATTATATATTGTACGTGGGAGAGCCATGCTTCGGTTACACATGGGTAGACTCGACCGGAGTGATGATACCCCAGGCCTCACAGGAAACCACTGTTAACGAATTCTTTCGTTGCTTTTCACCGAGTGAGTGTGATTACGGAAGCCCAACCCCCTCCTTCTCCTAATTCTAGGGGGAGGATGGGGCTTGTAAATCCTATCCGCTGTAAAGTCTTGAGACTCTTGAACTAAAATAAGCTTTGAGGATAAACTGTTTATATTAAAATCCTTGTCATAATGTCATGTGCTTGATTTAAATAATTGAGTATTTTAGAACAATTATCAACAGTGAATTTGATTTCTGCAGCATGACGCAGAAAACTAAAGAGTTAAAAGAACGAATATTTACCGGGAGGACGCTGTGAGGACACCATGCCATAGGCTGTTGGAGTGCCTGATGTTATGGAAAAGCGGCTGTCAGCGTGGTTAGTCTTTCGATTGATATTATAACTCTATCGATGAAACATTCTCAGTCGCCGCTCACACCTCCGCATGGATTGAAACCAGAAGGCCAATTCTCGTAATAGTAGTTCGGTCAATCTTCAGTTCCGATCAACTCTGGACTTCAGAACTGTCATAAAAGGTATTTTTGTGGTAAGAAACTTCAGAGAAGACTTCAAGATCAATTTGTTTGGAACTATTTCATTTCATTTTCTTTCTATATATGAACATGTAGGTTGTCAGATGATAAGTAAGAGCGACGGCCTCGCGCAGGCTTATGGCCCGGCTGGCGAATGTCTCCTTGACTTTATAGTTGGACAGACCCTGGTGCATATTACATTTCATGTGCGCATAATGCAAAATCATAACCGATTGAATAAATACCTGGTGAAGAATATCGTGAAATCATTTACTAGAACTTACCTACTTCCTTCCTAGTTGGACATGTTTGCCAGAGTGGTCGTGCCTGTTCCTGGGTAGGGTTGCAGTTCGCCGTCGCCGCTCACCTTCCTGGCTGCTGCATATCTTGCAATATCCCTCCTTTTCTGCAAGTTTTCCGCATTGCGATCACATTGTACTGAAGTCGATTCAGTCGTGGCTTTAATTAGGTCAATCCAACGGACCCTGTCTTGTGCCTTCCACACGGCCTTGCACTACAAGTCTTTCTTTATTTTCTAGACATGTGCCCAAAGAACTTCAGTATTCGCAACTGCACAATCGACAAGAACCTATTTCGTATGTGAAGGTATTTGAGGATAGAGATATTAGTGTGTATTTCCAGGGTGTCTTTAATAGTCGTCTGCAGCACCACATCTCTAAGGAATAGATTTTTGAGCGATCTTGTTTCCTAAGAGACCAGGTTCCTGCCCCGTAATGACATATTGGAAATTACTTACCTACTACAAACCGGTGATAAAACATTATACTTATTATGCAAAAATTTCAAAACTTATGTATTTATCTGACTATAACATTCACATTCGGTTTAGTCATAAATAACTGTAGGTATATGTTTGCCATAATTTCACAGCCGATTAAATTCGATAACTCGCGTCACAACGGATAAGACAAAACTTACATATATTTTTGTGAATATTTTTCATAAAACAAATAGGTTTACAATGTGTACATTACTATATCTTGCAAGTAAGTTTAATTATTATTATATCTGATACTGTTATATCATTAGGTTTTATGTTAAATAATAGACAATAGGTACTAAAACTATTTTTTAAAGGAAACCCTTTAGTTTCGCACTCGTCTTCAGGACAACGTTTTTAGAAATTTTATACCAAATCTTTTTCTTTATTCGGTGTTCGAACGCGAAGACGATAGATACTTTTCAAGACATATATATTCATCGCTCTTGTGTTTTATTTTTCAATAATTAGCTTGTTAATATTTAGTTATTTTACAATCCTAAGTATTTGAATACCTGTCTGTACACATACGAAATCATAAACACGTAATTATCTTTTACAAATACAGAGACTATAAGTAAATATGATTAAACCTACATCGATCGCATAATTTAGAATTCAATAAGTGTTAAAAATATTTTACAATCTCTACGATTTATACGCGAAAGTATTACAGAGATAGATGGTAAGAAGGATGCCTGAATTTAAGTGTTATATTTGTGTATTTATGGGCTACTCTTAAACAAACAATACTGTTTCATACCAGGTTATAAAAATAATAATTATTATATCATGGAGAGTGCTCCGAGGAATTGTTCGGACCAATAACAGCAGCATTTCGCGAAATGTTTATCCTCACCACTTACATAATTGGCACTCCACCACTGTGCGCTTTTCAAGACACTTTTTGCCTCGACAACCAATTTGAGAAACAAGCTATCGTCTGTGGTATTTTCCGACCGGTACGACGCTCTAACCTTCAAGAAAAGAGAGCACTAATTCCTCAAAGGCCGGCAACGCGCTTGTGAAGGCCCCACTGCCATAAAAAATAACATTTCTTTGCAGTGATACCATCAGTAATACCACAGCCTGCCAGAAAACCGCTGTTAATTAATTATTTCTTTATTTTCGACCGAGTGAGTAAGGCAACTGGAGACCAACAACACCCCACCCCTAATTCTTGTGTATTATCAATGGTCAGCAAGGGTCTTGTAACGCTTGAGTTACAGGCCCATCAACGGTGGTAGTTTAATATCAGCATCAAAACTTTTTTCATCAATCATCATCAACAGCCCGTAACAGTACACTGCTGGACATAGGCCTCTCCTTAAAAATGAACTTTTTGGCCTTCGTTGGCCAGACGGGTCGGTATAGGGTTTGTTTTAAGTTTTCCTTCTCTTTGCAGAGCTGTTGTCATGCGTAATTTATTCCTTATCCGTCTCTAACGACACCCATCGGATAAGAAAGGGTTGTAACACTCCGTATTTTTAATCCGTCACCTCATGGACAATCAAACTTTACAAAGATTCAATAACATTTCTTGCCTTAATCGTTAAGTGTGTTCAATAAGCACGTTCTTAGAAGCTATCTTCAGAGTGGTGAACTAAGACTATGAGTGGCGTCACAATCAATATTTTTGTACTTTTGACAAAAAGCGCACGATAAGCGTAAGTTTAGTATGTACATATGAGACAGCTCTAACTTGCAAGGATTAATTTTTTTTTTTTATCGTAGCGGTTTTAACGTCAATATACGCAGTCAACTCCTACATCCTACTAACAGCAAACTTGGACGATTTCCACGCAATTGGAAAGCAGATTGCAGCATCTCCCGTCGGATCCCAGATCCACCAGATCATCCGCAGAGCCTCGGCAATTTTCAACGAAAACGTCAACAACAAGCTCAGGAAGCGATCTGATGCTGATCCTCTTCCAGGTTTGCATTCCTCGAAGGTTTATTTTTAAATTCTTAAGGTTGCAGGATTAGATAAGAGGCTTTTCTATACACAGTATAATATAAGAGTAAATGTATCTGATTGAAACGAGGTAAAGAAATATCACATGACTTATCGTTTAAAACTTTGTACAGATAGTTCAAGTCAACTTCAATTCAACTTTCATTCGTGTGGCAGTCGTCGTCCGACTGCCGCGTCACTGCCACACGAATGAAAGTTGTATATTTACAAGCCCACGCACACATAGGGCCGCGCGCACAACTGAGTTGAACTATCTATAACGTACTGAGAAACGTACGTAGAGAAATGTACTGAGCTCTATTGTAACAAACAAAACATAAACTAAGTTAGATCGTCATTGAAACTCAGCCAGGTGTCATTTTTGACAAATGATTTCGATACGAGGTAACTTAGCGAACGTTAAAAACTTAAAGAAAAGGAAACAAAATGGCTGACTTACAACAATATAATAATAATATTTGCCCCCTTTTTTTTCCCGTGCGGAAATCCCCTCGGATACCACCTATCGGTGGCATGTCGGACTCGAACCGACTAAAACCGCACGCCGTCTCGGGTACTAATAGCCGGAGAACCAGGTATACCCTAGAAAGGGAGTCCCTGGTGCCCCGTCCCGGAACCCCATGTTCCCTCTGCTCCCTGGAAGCGAGCGCGCTTCGCAAGGCGCTCGCCGCCACCCCGGAATATTTCCCCCCAGAGCATTTTTCACAAACTTGATTGGGGTCGACTTTAAGTATACTACGACACGGCTGAACTTCGATTTTGTACGTGAAGCGACTGCTATCGGACCTTCACAACCCATGTGGCAAGTACTAGGCGATATCGAAGTTCTGTAGAACTTAAGACAATTGTCGGTCTTTTTAGGGTTCCAACTACCCGTAACGATTAACATAGATGATTATATGGCATCCGGGACCGGCGGTTTAACGTGCTCCCCGAGACACGGAGGGGTCTCAATGTGTCAAGAATGGTCGCCCATTCATGGACTGACCTGGCTAGGGTTGTTTAACTTCACAACCTACTCGGATACCTTTTAAAACATATAATATCAAAGACGTGCATGTCGTAACAGTAATAAAAATAAGCAATTAAGTAGGAAAATATTATTACATGTCCTGCCGACCTCTGTTATCCATTAGCGGAACTACATTCATATATTGAGTCAGAGTTAATAGGTACAAGGAAGTATCAGTGAGGATTACTTACTATGAAGGCTCGTTGGTGTCTTAGGGGAGAGTAACCACGGACACGGCTCTCCACGCGCTGGCAGAGTGCCCGGCGTGGGTTGAGCAGAGGCTAGACCTCGTGGCGGCCATCGGAGTGGGAGTTCTCTCGCTCGATAGCCTGATTGCGGCTATCGTGCGTAGCGAGAGTGCGTGGAACTCTGCCGTCTCCTTTTGCGAGCAAGTTATGCTCGCGAAGGAGACGGCGGAGCGGGACCGGGAGAGGTTTAGGACTCTCCCGGCCCGCCAGGCCCAGGAACGGGCCAGGTACTGCAGGCGACTCAGGCGCCGGAGGTCGCAGAACGACCTCCGTCCTCCATAAGCGCAGGCCTAGCAGAAGCAGGCCGGGGTGGCGGCGAGCGCGTTGCGAAGCGCGCTCGCTTCCAGGGAGCACAGGAAACATGGGGTTCCCACACGGGGGGGGGGGGGGGGGGGGGGGGGGTGTCGTCTACTCGTCTGTAGATGACCCGAGGTATGTCGGGGCACCAGGGACTTTCTTTCTAGGGTATACCTGGTTCCCCGGCTATTAGTACCCGAGACGGCATGCGGTTTTAGTCGGTTCGAGTCCGACATGCCATCGACAGGTGGTATCCGAGGGGATTTCCGCACGGAAAAAAAAAAAAAAAAAAAGGGGCGCCATTGAACCGGCGCCTAAATTGAAGCACTTCTGTATTTCTACCAAAATAGCACTATTTGGTATAGTTTATTGGCACAAAAAGAAGCGTTACAAAATGGCGCAGTATTAGTGGCGCTGCTAGCGCTTCTTTTTGTGTTACTAGTGTAAAAAAAAAGTGCCATTTTGGTAGAAATACAAAAGTGGTCCAATTTAAACTCCGGTTCAATATTGGTTACTCTCCCCTATATTTTATCTCCCACTGGCCTTAATTCTGTGAGGGAATTCGATAATGATCATTTCGACTGACGCGGAGTGGAGTGGAGAGGAGCTTAGCGGTGTATATACTCACCTGTCACAATGCCTGAAATCTCTAAGCAGGGAAAATCATCCTGTCTCGTAAGAGATACCAACTCTTTCTTCTTCAGAGGTATCTCCCGTTGTCATTATTTTTTTTATTTTTATTTTATTTTTAACTTTTTGCACAAGTACATGCATCGGCGGACTTAATGCCTAAGGCATTCTCTGCCAGTCGACCGATTGGGCGGTGCTGAGAAAGAATGAGGTAGGTGCATTTATGATAGGGTATAAACGATAGTGGTTTTGTTAAATACCAACTATCTTGGAATTTGGTGTATACGTCGTAATACCACACACATACACATACTCATAAATATGTACATACATACATACATACACATATATATATACATACACATACACATATATATATGAGAAAAATAAAAAAAAAATAAAAATAAAAAAAAAAATAGCCGATGAACTAGGAGCTCGTTGAATCTGCCATTTCGCTCAGCAATAGCTCTTTCACTTTCGTCTTAAAAGAGTACCGATTTGTAGCCATCCTGACTTCGTGAGGAAGCGCATTCCATAAGAGGACAGCCTGGACAAAGAACGAAGAGCCGACAAACCCAGTGGTGTGAGAAGGACAGAGTAGAAGAAGATTGTTGGCCGAACGAAGGTTTCTGTTGTGGTTGTTGGATAACAATTGAAATTGTGTTGTTAAATAAGTAGGAGGGGAAGGGGAATTGAGGATAGTGTACATAGTTGTGAGAGCGCGCATTTTCCTGCGTTGACGAATAGGTAACCATCTTAGTTGGGAACGAAAATCGGAGATATGGTCATACTTACGAAGATTAAAGATGAATCGAATGCAGTTATTGATGAGACGATCTAGCTTGTTGAGAAGATCTGCATTCAGGTCATAATAGCACACGTCACCGTAGTCGATTAAAGGGAAGATAAGAGATTGCACGAGCGCTGTCTTAGTTTTCACGGGAAGAAAATTTTTCAGGCGATATAATGTTCTAAGAATGCCGGTAACCCTCTGGCATACGTATGTGACTTGATCGCGCCAGTTCAGGGTGCAGTCGAGTTGTAAGCCTAGGTCTTTCACCGATCGACAAACAGGTATAGCGATACCATTAAAAAATATTTTGGGGAGCGTCTCAAAATTGACTCTGTTCATCGAACGCTGACTGCCAATTATTATTGCCTGACACTTTGTCGGGTTGACCGATAATCCAAACCTTTCAGACCAGTTTTTGATGGTTTTGAGATCTATGTTGATCTCGTCAATAGCTATTGGTATGTCATCAACATTAGCTTGAGCATACAGTTGCAGGTCGTCAGCATACAGATGATACGCGTTACGAAGTTCGAGAGATAAGAGATTAATAAACACAGAGAACAATAAAGGAGAAAGGGGCTATCTCGAAGGGCTTCTCTTCCGGATATTTAATTTGCACTTAGTGTTAATGTTTCTTCGTATTGCTCTGGATATATCCGTGTATGACACGGATAAGGGTTTTCGGGAGACGGGGGGTTCTCAGGTCAAGAGGTTCTCAATGGGGTAGATAACAGTCTGGTCAAACAAGCATATTTTATTAAACGTCAAAACGATAGACGCGGTACATTTTTGTCTAAAATACAATGGCGTGACGTCATACCAAGCTATTGTCAAATTATTTATATTTAATATTGTTATAATTTAATCGTTGGAATACCACGAATACCAATACTCTTTCAGAACTCTGTTATATATGAACCGATTAATAATAATAAAATAATAATAATATTCTACCACATTCACACAACGCCATCTAGTTCCAAACTAAGCAGAGCAGAGCTTGTTCTATGGCTACTAGACAACTGATATAAATACACATATACTTTTTTTTTGTAAATACATACTTATTATACATAGAAACACCCAGACCAAATCAAACATTAAATGTCCATGCACACAAATGTTTGACTTGGGCGGGAACCGAACCCGCGACCATTGGAATAGCAGTCCGTTACACAAACCCCTATGCCATTCGGTCGTCGATTATTTGGAAGCCTACACTATTGTTTTAAAGTGAAGTTGACGCGGTTGTAAGACCGTTTGTTGTTTCACATTTGAAATGGCCCTAAGCGAATAAACCCTTTAGAAATATACAAATATTTAGAAAAAACGGACTCGAACCGACTAAAACCGCACGCCGTCTCAGGTACCAGTAGTCGGGGAACCAGCTGTACCCTAGAAAGGAAATCCCTGGTGCCCCGACATACCTCGAGCCATCTATGGTGGGTAGACGACCCCCCTGTGTGAGAACCCCCATGTTCTCTATATGCTCCCGGAAGGGCGCGCGCGCTTCTCAACGCGCTCGCCGCCACCCCGCTTGTGGAGGACGGAGGTCGTTCTGCGACCTCCGGCGCCCGAGTCGTCTGCGGTACAGTACGAACGTACGTACCTGGGTTTTTAATGAACTGTTAAAGACATTGAAACTAATAACGCAGAAAGTATGAATGAAGAACATAGCTATTTACAATTCTATTATAGTATATTTCTTATCCTACACATACCAGTATAACACTCGCATCTAAACTAGGCCAGGTATTTTTCGTGAATATACGAACGCGTTAAGAGAGTTCAATATCCACGATGTCCATACACAGGTGTTGTATTTTCTGAGATGTAGATGGGGCTTATTAAACCATTATTCGTACTACCCTCGTAATAGCGGGTCAGCCAAGCTTCATCGTTTTTTATTCAAAAATAAGGTATTACTTCGGAGGGATAAAAAAATTCTTTTACCCGAGCGAAACCACTCGATACAATATGTCATACCAACCATATTTGGTTCAATTTTAATAGTCTTAAAATAGTAAACAACAACTTAATTAGTAGGGGTATCTACGAAGGCTCTAGACAGTTTCTTCTACGCATGGAAACCCCCTAGATTCGTCCCCATCAGGGTTTTGCGGTGAGGCAGTGTGTCGGAATCGAACTGACTAACACCAATAAAATTGAAGTGGCAGTATTCAGGCAGGCACAGATGAACTGAGCTCAAAAAGGAAAGTTACTTTTTAAGATAGCATTCACAATACTAGGTCACGATATAAACGACGTAACGTAACTTGAAAAAATCATGGGAAATATACCAAAAAGATTATCTCTGAAATTTTGCTTTCAATGTAAGTAAAATATAGTAGTTTCCAATTTAGTGAACTTCCTCATGGTCACCGCTTGCGTCGTCCAACATGAAGATAACTGGTTATTTTTCAGATGATTCCCTAGAAGTATGGATCCCAGCCAAATCGGGTAATTATTTCTATATGTACATAGCTCCACAAACCTAGAAATTAGTGTGACGTCTTGTATTTATCGACCATCTTTTACATATTTTAATTTCTTAAAATAATAATAGTTTAAAAAAATAAAAAACAGGCTTTTTATAGAAAACCAAACAAAAAAATAGAAAATAAATTTTAATAAATTTGAAAAAAAGCGTTGGGTGCTTTTTACTTTTGACAACAGGCACCCAACGCTTTTTTTCCAAATTTATTTTCTATTTTTTAGTTTGGGTTTCTATAAAAAGCCTGTTTTTTATTTTTTTAAACAATTTTTTTTAATATTATTTATTTTAAATTAGTATATTGTCATCGGTCCTCGATACATCTACAAAGTTTGAACGAATTCTGACTGAATTTAAAGTCAGTTAAAAGTCTCACCCAAAGGAGTCGGTTACAAACAAACATACAGGTGAAACTAATAAAAAGCGTGTAAAAATTGTGTTATTACAATAATTGTGGCGAGAATATTCCATGTGCAGTAAGCCAGCGAAAACGAGTTCTTGAGTGGAGACCGCGTCTCGGCAAACGTAGTGTAGGACGCCCACAGGTCAGGTGGAGTGACGATTTGCGCAAGACGGCTGGCAGGAGCTGGATGCGAGAAGCCCAAAATCGATCTAAGTGGCGTGCAATGGGAGAGGCCTATGTCCAGCAGTGGACTGCGATAGACTGATGATGATGATGAAGCCAGCGAAAGTTAAGACACTGATTGCAGATTTCAGAACTGTTTACAACGCAATGGTGCAATCTTGCATGATAGTTGTAATATTTATTTTAAATTAATAAAACTACCAAATTATCTTAACCGCTCAGTAGAATATTGGTGGTATTTAATATACGTGATAAATCTACTTAATATATTGTTTTTGATGTGTAACATCGCCCCTCTCACTTTCTTGCAAACTATTGAGTGATTTAGGTAAACTTGTATTTATAATAATATATTATACTATATTACTGAATTTTCTACATTACACTAAGTGATTAGGAAATTAAAAAATAGTTATATGAAACTAGTTGTATATTTTGCCGGATTTTATGAGTGTTGCAAACTCTCAAACTCATATTTTCAGTAAAATACTCTAAGAAACACTAACTCCTTTTTGCTTAGGTGGTGGTTGACTTCCGTGTGGTGGTGAATTAAGAATACAAAGTGTCACCACCCCTATTCGTCCCTTGGGTGCCGTAAGAGACGACTAACGGAGCAAACTATGCAGGACATCAGCACTGTAATGGGATAGAAAACACAAACCCTATACCAACCCGTCTGGCCAGCGTGATATAATAGGCCAAAACCTCCTTCCTAAAGAGAGGCCTATATCATGCAGTGGACTAGTAAAGGCTGTTTATGATGATGATGATGGGGGTTGACCTGATTTGTAAATTTAAATTGCTGTAACGTAAATAATATTATTAAACAATATTCAAGTAATAAACTGTTAAACTGTCGACAAAGAAGATCCTGTATTTCTTTTAAAAAAATCACTCATTTAAAAAAAAAAAAAAAACAGGATAGATAGGTCGAACGTGAAATTATCAAAAATTATAAAATACCATTTAAAAATTGTCTAAAAGTCTCTTTAAATTTTTTCGTTTCACTTCCAGACAGAGAAAGTGTTTCAGACGACGACAGTTTGACTGAGAAAGACGAAGCGTACTTGAAGGCCAAGAAGGAGAGCATGGCCGAAAGAAGAGCTGGAGAAGATGACGTAGTGGCGCTCGGGAAGAACGCTAGCTATTATCTTCAGTCTCTGAAGAAGATCTTTGAAAGTGTTTGAAGCTGAATAAAGATTTATAAAATGAATTTAATTACATCTAGTTTTATTTACGAGGAACTTTAAACAGATTGTTTTACAGAAACAATAAAAGAAAAGTTGAAAATACTAGTTTTTTTTCAACTCTGTGTGGAAATATATATACTTTTTTTTGAACAAATGGGCCTGCTTGACAGGAGTGATACCATGGCTTCAAAGAAACCCGTCATCATCATCATCAATCATCGACAGCCTTTACTAGTCCACTGCTGGAATAGGCCTCTCTAGTTTGTTTTAAGTTTTCCTTTTTTTTGCAGTGCTGTTGTCCTGAGTAGTTTACTCCCTTAGTCGGCTCTTACGACATCCACGTAATGAATAGGGATGGATACACCCTATATTCTTAATCCGTTACCACACGGATCATTCGTCACCAAACGGATCATGACAGAAACCCGCTGTCAATGAATTCCTTTGTGACTTTTCAACGAGTGAACCGTGAGGTTACCGGAGCCCCAACCCCCTCTGCTCCTGATTCTGGGGAGAGGGACTCAAAGGGAGACCATGCACTTATGACTCTGGAATTGTAGGTGTTCTTTGGTGGCGACAGTCACTTACCAACGGGGGGCCCATCTGCACGTTTGTCTTCTGTAGCATAAAAAAGAAAAACTTTTTTCTTCTCTATGTCTGTATCCACCCGTTGCTATAAAACGTTAAGAATTAGACGCCAGCACTGCGCGACAATGAGTTCTGAACTTTGAAAGAACTCGACGACACGAGCTGGCCAGTCTAAGAATAATCAAAAGCATCAAGGAGATCAGGGAAGCATGTAGAAAAAAGGAAACTAAGACATCAAATTTACTACTTCCTTCTTCGCGGATCTATAGAAGAAATCTGCTCAGCTTTTCTCTAAAGACTCTATCACTCCATTACACAAAGTGCACAGCGGATAGATTTTACAGCCAGGCAGCGTCTAAACTCATCCCGTCGTGTCACCTCAAGCTCGCTGTTTTCTCAGGAAAATTTAGACAACGTCTTAAAGACTTTGGTAAAATAAATTTAATTCTTAAAGTAAATAGTTGGTCAGAAAATACATTACAATAACTGAGTGTTTCGTAGGTGTTCCTAGGTACTCGCGAAGGAGACGGCGGAGCGGGACCGGGAGAGGTTTAGAACTCTCCCGGCCCGCCAGGCCCGGGAACGGGCTAGGTACCGCAGGCGACTCAGGCGCCGGAGGTCGCAGAACGACCTCCGTCCTCCATAAGCGCAGGCCTGGGGGTGACAGGTGAGGCCATCTGTCACCCTAGCAAAGCAGGCCGGGGTGTTGCGAAGCGCGCTCGCTTGCAGAGAGCAGAAAGAACATGGGGTTCCCACACGGGGGGGGGGGTCGTCTACTCGTCTGCAGATGGCCCGAGGTATATCGGGGCACCAGGGACTTCCTTTCTAGGGTATACCTGGTTCCCCGGCTATTAGTACCCGAGACGGCGTGCGGTTTTAGACGGTTCGAGTCCGACATGCCACCGTCAGGTGCTATCCGAGGGGATTTCCGAACGGAAAAAAAGGTGTTCCTAGGTATACCTACTGATATAATAAGATTTTCTTGGTTATTTAAATGAGAGCTCTGGAACTGTTAGACAGATTCGACTGATTCTTTTTGAATTTGATAGAGTATTTACTAAGTATTAATATAAGCTTTAAAACATCACGCAACATACATTAATAGAAGCTAAGCAGTCTCCGTATCAACCATTAGATTAATATCTTATAGACTCGTAACTTCCTTTGTGCAAAAAGAATATTAAATGAGTCTGTGGAAGTCAAAAAAGAGATGAGTTCATAAATGATTAATTAAAGAATTTTATGACTTAAATTTATACACCAAATAAAATATTCACGTCGCTTCAAAATAGACGTATAAACTTTATTTAATTATACACACACAAGGAGGCATTTCATTTAACAAATTCCACTGTCAACTTGTTTTTCAAGACTAAAGTATTTATCTATTAGAAACAACTTTTTGTACTTTGTCTTAATACTCAATACTTTATTGCTACCATAATGTAAATTTTACAGTTGGTAAAAACTTAAGCTAGGTATCAATTATGGACCCTGTCGGGCACAGCATAGAAGAGAGAGAGAGAGAGGGGAATGATTATTACTATATTTATTTGTAATATATTATTTATATATATTTAATCTGTATACCCATTATTTTATTTTTATTTAAATATTTAATAATTATTTATTGCACTAAGTTTGTCTTGTAGATACCTAGGAAAAGATAGCCAATTCTCGTTATAAAACTTCGGTCAAAATTCAGAACCGGTCCACACTCGATCCCATAAATATCATAAAACGTATTTTCGTAATGAAATAGTGAAGTATTACTAAGATACTACGATAGGATCCCATTACAGTCAAAGTTGGATGTTTAATATTTGCGTAGTAAACTACTCGAATATTTTTTATGGCAGTTGTGAGTTCGAGAGTACTTAGATCAGAACTGAATTTTGACCGAACTTTTATTACAAAAATTGTCCTTGTACGAATACTATAGGGTAATTCCTTGGTTGAGCGCGTTGCGAAGCGCGCTCGCTTCCAGGGAGCACAGGGAACATGGGGTTCCCACACGGGGGGGGGGGGGGGGGGGTCGTCTACTCGTCTGTAGGTGACCCGAGGTATGTCGGGGCACCAGGGACTTCCTTTCTAGGGTATACCTGGTTGGTAGTACCCGAGACGGCGTGCGGTTTTAGTCGGTTCGACATGCCACCGACAGGTGGTATCCGAGGGGATTTCCGCACGGAAAAAAAAAAAAAAAAGGTTTGTAGTAGTGACCCAACTCGGCTTTGCATGGCTGTAAGTTAACTGATAACTCGAAAAGGAGGAGTTCTAAATTCCGTTGTATATATTTTGTTTGTTACCACACATCTCTGTCATTAATAAACCGATTTGGAAAAATCTATTTGTATTTGGAGCATATACCTACTTCCCGCCTGGTGCCATAAGGTTGGCAAATTAAGAAATGAAGAATGTACTTAACTATTCATCATACTTATATACTCGTAGTTTATTAAATATCTCTCAAGATTTAGTCTACGTACATCAACAGACACTTTATAGGTCTACTGTTGGACATAGGCCTCTTCTTACAAAAGGAGTTTTTGTCTATTTCATCGCGCTGGCCAGACGGGTTGTGTTTGCTTGACGCAAACACAACCCGTCTTCCTTCCTTCTCTTTGCAGTGGTTTTGTGCCGCGTAGTTTGTTCCCTTAGTCGGCTCTTACGACACGAATAGGGGTGGTGGCACTCCGTATTCTTAATCCGTCTTCACACGGACGTCTACCTCCGTACGCCATATAAATTTAAATTTTATGACTTGGTTTTAAAATATCGTTTATTTCCATTATTTTAAGCTATCTATTGTGGGCACAGCTATTATATGGGTATGTCTGAGACCTTATTAATGTTGAAATGCTTTGAATGCTAATCTCGAAAACCATCACTTCTATTTAACAAAATATTTTCTTTGTTTTATTGACAAGACTACTTTTTTTATGGTATAAGGGGCAAACGAGCAGACGAATCACCTGATGGTAAGCAACTAACGCCACCCATGGACACCTGCAAGTCACAAGTGCGTTGCCGCCCTTGGAGTCCCTCTCGCTCGAGGGATTTGAGCTCCGGTAACCTTACTCACCCAGTGAAAGGCAACGAAAGAATTGCTTAACACCGGTTTTCTGTGTGGTTTTCTTAACTATTGGTGGGGAAAGTGTTTCAATAATATCAGAAATCGTGCCCTTGAAATGCCTTGGAAGAAAGATAGACTGCATTTATGAATGCAATAGTCGATGATTTCGTAAAAGACATTGACAAGGTAGACCAACATCCAATTAGTAATGTAAAAAAAGCTTGGATTTACGACAACTACTTCACATCGCGTCTCATCCGACAGTTCCTGGTATACGATATAAACCAGAACCACTTAAGAACACTGGACACGAAAGTCACTAAGATATTGAAGTCGTGGCTCGGGTAGCACCATCTGCAGACCCGTCAACGTTGTACACGGGCTCGAATAACTTTGGAATGAAATTAAAAAGAACCTTGGAACTCTACAAACACCTAAGAGTTACCAAAATGCATGTCTTATCAAAATCACAAGACGAAATCGTTAGATTACAGAATACCGGAGGATATCTGTGGCTCGGCGTCCAGACCAGACATATTTCGTTACGCAAAGTCAATTAAGCGTGTAGTACTAATAGAACTCACGGTGCCGAACGAATATCCCTAACCACGCTTTAAAAAGAAATAAGTACTTTGACTTAACCAACGAAATAACTAAAAATGGTTATGTCGTTGCGTTGTATGCCGTGGAAGTGGGTGCGAGGGGTACACCAGCTAAATCCTTCTTTAACCTGCTTAAAGACCTTGGATTTCCAAGGCTTCAGTAAGCTCTTTTCTTGAACGAATATCCGAAACGGCATTTAGGATATTCGTTATTAAATATGGTTAGGTAGAGGGGGTAGCACAGCAGACAGTGGAGGTGAGCGCTGACGCAAGGAGTACTCCCTAAACCTATTCCAGGGTCGCAATTCCCAGGAGCTGTCAAAGTCGCATGTGTTGCCCCACCAATCATGCGATGGACCCGGCACTCGCACTGTGAATCCACGGAGAGCTAAGAAAGGGGTCTGACATAAAAATTACTTATTTTTGCAGTAAAAGAGTTTATTTTCAATTATTAATTCGACTTTTCACATATGTATGCAAGTTTTTCAGTATCGCAAGGCATATCTTCTAATTCCGCCAGATGTGTGACAGTTCCACAGCGGTTCTTCAATGTTGCCGCTGAAGACCAGGTGTGGTATAAATCATTGACGCTAGTACCTGAAACAGTAAACATTATATTTAAAACTAGCTTACTTAGCTTAGCTTAGCTTACTTACGAGGGGTGATCAATAAGTAATGATAATCGAGTATTTCTAGAGCGCACAAAAACCCAAATTATTTTTTTTCTGCTTGCTTATATATCCACTACTTCAGCTTCAAAAAAATGTATAAATAGGACACCATTACCGGGAGATACATTCATTTGAATACGAACTGTCGAAGAGAAAACATCAAAATGGAGAAAAATGAAAAAAGAGCTGTCATCAAGTACCTCTGCCTGAAAAAAATGTCTACCAAAGACATACACAGCGACTTAGAGGAAACATTGGGGGAGTCTGCTCCTCCATATTCCACAGTCGCACGCTGGGCAAAGGAATTTAAGCTGGGCAGAACCTCCACTGAAGATGAACATCGCGAGGGACGCCCTTCCACGTCCCTTACTGGAGAAAACGTCAAAAAAGTGGAAGATATCGTGTTGGCCGATCGAAGGGTGACCGTAAGGCATGTAGCTGAGGTCACAGGGATCTCCTATGGCAGCGTTCAAAAAATCATTGTCAACAAAATGCATATGAAAAAGGTCTCTGCGCGTTGGGTACCGAGAATGTTAACCGACGAGCAAAAAAAGAAACGAGTCGACATTTCGAGGGTGAATCTTCAAAAGTTCCAGGCCGATAAAGAATTTTTTTTGTCGCGTTTTGTGACCATGGACGAGACCTGGATCCACCACTTTGATCCCGAAACCAAACAACAATCAATGACTTGGAAACGAGCTTCCTCACCAACGCCGAAGAAATTCAAAGTGTCAAGTTCAGCGGGAAAGGTTATGGCGTCTGTTTTCTGGGATGCAGAAGGAATTATTATGGTGGAATATTTGGAAAAGGGGGCCACTATAACAGGCTCTTACTACGCAGGCCAAATAAGAAGATTGCGAGAAGCTATTAAGTCAAAAAGACGCGGTAAACTGCGCGCTGGAGTGCTGTTTCACCAAGACAACGCCCCGGCTCACAAAGCCGCAGTTGCGATGGCTGCCATTGAAGAAACGGGGTTCGAACTGCTCGAACACCCTCCCTATTCGCCAGATCTAGCTCCCAGTGACTTCTACCTCTTTCCTCGGCTCAAAGAACACCTCCGGGGCAACAAATTTGAGGACAATAGTGAAGTGATGGCCGCAGTAGAGGCATTTTGGGAGGGTCAAGACAAATAATTTTTTTCTAAGGGAATCATGGGCTTAGAAAAAAAATACACTAAATATATTAACTTGCAAGGAGACTATGTTGAAAAATAAAATACTTTTTTTAATCTAATAGTTCTGTTTCATATTGATTATCATTACTTATTGATCACCCCTCGTAGCTGACCCGCGCAACTTCGTCTGCTTCTCTCAATAGTAATAAATTTTCTCCGTTTTTGAAACATTCTTCATTGGTGCTCCGCTCCTATTGGTCTTAGCGTGATGATATATAGCCTATAGCCTTTCTCGATAAATGGGCTATGAAAGAATTTTTCAAATCGGACCAGTAGTTCCTGAGATTAGCGCGTTCAAACAAACAAACAAACAAACTCTTCAGCTTTATAATATTAGTATAGATTAATTTCTTTAAAAAAGTTTTACCGACTCAAATTCGCCTACATAGTAATGAGATTGCATAGTGGTTTAAGCCTTCACTTCGTCGCTTCCTACTGCGAGTGTTGTGGGTTCGATCCACACATGATACAAAACTTTGTGTGATTCATAAATTGGTATTCTTTGTGTCCGTAATATATATGTTTGTGAAGTCCCTAAAGCGACACAGGATATTTGGATGTAAAAAAAATTGCTATAACTGTATTCTTCATCCCTCAATTTTCGACCATTAGGAGTGGTATTTTTTTCTCAAACTTGAATAGCACTAAACAGAAAGTATAGGTTAGCAAATTAAAAAATGTTTTTTTTTTTAATCTGTTCATTAATTAATGACATAGTGAGCACGTCCTTTTTTGAAGTTAGTTAAAATAGATGGAGGGATGGCGAAGTGGTTAGTGTAACGGACTGCCACGCCTAAGGTCGCGGGTTCGAATCCCACTCAAGACAAACATTTGTATGCATGAACATTTAATGTTTTATTTGGTCTGGGTGTTTCTATGTATAATAAGTATTTATATCAGTTGGCTAGTACCACAGATTACTTCTTATTACCAAAGATTACAACCCCAAGGGTATGTGTCTAGTAGTCTAGTACCCATAGCACGAGTTTGGGACTAAAAAATGTGGTAATAACATCATCACATCAACAGCCTTTAATAGTCCACTGCTGGACATAGGCCTCTCCTTAGAAAGGAGGTTTAGGCCTACTATACCACGCTGGCCAGACAGGTTGGTATAGGGTTTGTGTCAAGTTTTCCTTTTACCGCAGTGCTGTTGTTCTGGGTAGTTTGCTCTCTTAGTCGGCTCTTATCACACCCACGGGATGAATAGGGGTGGGGGACACTCCGTATTCTTAATCCAAATCAAATCAAACAAAAATAAGAGGTGCATTTAGTTTGTTCTTTCAAATATTTGTTTGCACAAAACTCACTAAGGGCTCGTTTACCGTTGTTGTATTTAAACAATTTAATTGTATTCCAGTTCTTAGACCAAAGCTGGTTGCAGATGTGACCACCAGACCTTGCACCTACCGACTATTACTTTTTCCAAAATTTAGACAACTTTTTAGTGGGTAAAAAATTCAATTCCCGAGAGGCAGTACAAAATGCCTTTGAAGAGTTTGTTGCCTCCCGTCCAGCTGATTTTTATAAGAAGGGCATCAATAAACTACCAATGCGTTGGCAAAGATGCATCGATTGCATGGGTGATTACTTCGAATAACAGAAATAAAAAAAATTGAAAAAATAAGTACTTTCACTTATTGCATACAAAACGGCAATTTCATAGGTAAAGACTTATTATTATTCCTTACCGCTAACACTGCGCCAGTCATTGTTTCCATCTTTATCACTGAGTCCAATCCAGGTATAAGCCCAACCAGACTGATCAGAGACAATTTCCTTGATTGTCACTGCTTCCTCCTGAGTCTTGATGACGGCTAAATAAGCTCCGTTTTCAGCACACTTGCTTTTTGCTTCATTCCATGGGACGTATACATCATACAATTTATAGCAGTTGCCTCCTCCATAGCTTTTATATCCTGTAAAAAAGCAAATTTTTGAGTGAGATTTTTAAGTTAATGACCATTGGGCTTCGTAACGCTTACCACTAACACAAAAACAGCAAGTATTTATAGGGTTATGAAGAAGAACTCAGTACTCAGTAAAAAAAAATGTAATATTTTATTTTTCTATTCGATAAATCTGTTACGAACTTTTTAATTCAAAAATTTAAAAAGATATTATTAATTAAGAACGCCATTAGTCGTCTTTCTGGTCAGGTGTCCTCTGCTATCATAGGAAGAGACTCAGACATGCAACCAGTGGCGCGGCTATGTCGGACTCGAACCTACCAAAAACTGCGCACCGCCTTGGGTACTACTAGCCGGAGAATCAGGTGTACCTTAGAAAGGAAATCTCAGGAACCCTCAGATATGTAACCCTGGTATCTGCAAACTACGTTAGACTTTTAATATTTCATGTTCTGGTTCATTCGCCCTATTCCTTTCCTTTACTCCAAAATAATGGAGTAGCCAATATGTACCACAAATAGGCCGGTTCGTCTGGAATGTTACCACGGTCTCACAAAAAACTGGTTTAATATATATCTTTCGGTTCGTTTCCTCACCTACGTGAGGTTAACGGAGCCCAAATCTCTTATCCCACTGATGTAAGGAACAAAGGGCAGTAAAACGCTTGTGACTTTTTAACTTTTAAGTAGCAGGTGCCTATGGGGGACGGTAGCAGGTAGGTAGGTAAGGTGTCCCGTCTGCTCGTTCGCCCTCCTATACGGATGGCGCCCGACTGCTGAGTGCTGTAGGTCCGATCCCCACATGGTACGACACTTTGTGTGATTCACAAATTGTTGTTCTGAGTCTGGGTGTTCTTTGTGTCCGTTTCATGTATGTTTGTAAAGTCCCCCGCGACACAGGATTTATACCAAGTGCGGGCGTTGTCTTAAAAAAAAAACATTCAAAACCAAGCGGTAACTTTTTGATATAATATATTACGCCTACTCCAAATAACATTGGGAAAAGAGCAAGCAAACTAATGATGCTTGTCATCTTTTCTGGATTTGGTTTCATAAATTTAAAGTGAATTCTGTTAAAGCGGTGCAGTTCGTTTTACCATATAACTAAATTCAATCCGTCTGTTAAGCATCCATCTGTTGGCAAAAACAAAATGATTAAATACAACGTAAGAGCTTACCTCCTCCACAATCAACCGGATTTGGGGCAGCTAGTTTATCAGACGACGGAAACGCTGTAAACAAACCATAATGTTATTTTAATTAGTTTTGTGGCACTGAAAAAAAAAGATTCCGTGTGGTGAGTGGCATCATCACCTAGTGCCTCTTATCGTCCAATGCTGGACATAGGCCTCTCCACAGAAAGTATGTCTTGATCTACTATACCACGCTGGCCAGATAGGTTGTGAAAACGTAGTGTGGTGTAGTGGTAAAAACATAAAACATTTTGATAGCATCATGGTGTTTTCAGAGCTAAATAGAACGCTTCTGAAACTTGCAGTTCCTCTGTGTTGTTGAAGTTAAATAAAACACAGCACTTACCAGCCGCTGTAGACAGCAGAGTAACACAAGCTATTAAAGTGAACATGTTCAGAGACAACACGGTAGTGACCGAATCTGGTAAAATTCCAGAACTGATGCAAATAAATAATGTAAAGAACAATTTATACTCTGTAACAATTGATAACAGTCTCGGCATTATTTTGATTTAAATGTTGTTATAAGCTTAGGATGACTTTATAACGAAATCATGAATTTGGATTGAGATTTTCGCAAACGAGCAGACAGCCTTTAATAGTCCAATGCTGGACATAGGCCTCTCCTTACAAAGAAGGTTTCTAAGACGGGTCATCTGATGGTAATTACCACCGCCTCCCAAGAGTCACAAGAGCGTTGGCGTCCTTTAAATCAATTCTTCTACAATTAGGTGGAGGGGGTTTGCGCTCACCAGGGACTTCCTTTCTAGGGTATACCTGGTTCCGCGGCTATTAGTACTCGAGACGGCGTGCGGTTTTAGTCGGTTCGAGTCCGACATGCCACCGAGGTGGTATCCGAGGGGATTTCCGCACGGAAAAAAAAAAGTAAAAAAAGGGGGTTTGCGCTCCAGTAATGTCATTCACTTAGTGAAAATCATCGAAAGACAGGTCGAGACTGGTTTTCTGTGAGCCCGTGGTATCACGCCGGTCGAGCCTGCCCCTTTGGGACGAATCAAGGTTCTCCTACAGACACAAACTTTAAATGCGCGTAGTCTTTCTGCCATTGAACTTACAGGATGACGGATTTACAAGAGCTTAACTCTGTGTCTATGAAAGATTCTGTAGTACAGGTAGCATTAATGATGGACCTGTTACCCTAGTGGTTAGTGACCCTGACTGCTAAGCCGGAGGTCGTGGGTTCGATACCCACCAGGACAAATATTGTGTGATGAGCATGATCATTTGTACTGTGTCTGGGTGTAATTTATCTATAATATGTATGTATTTAGAAATATAAAAGTATGTTTATCAGCAGTTTGGTTTCCATAGCACGAGTACAGGCTCTGCTTAGTTTGGGACTAGAATGTAGTGTGTGAGAAGTGTGAAATTATTATTATTAATATATTGCATTTTACGAAAAACTAATAAATAGTAAACACAACATACCTCGCACAGCCAATCTGTGGAACAAAAAGGCCTACTCTATAATCACTTTCCACCAGGTGACCCGCCTACTCTTCTGCCCCTTTAAATTAAATTTAAAAAAAAAGTTAACGTTTATTTCAGTAATATCTGCAAAAACGCAAACAGCTGGAAAAGTAGTGTTAAGCAATTCTTCCTTAGCTTTTCACTAAGTGAGTCTGGTTACCGGAGCCCCAAAACCCCTCTCCTCCTACTCCTGGGCAGTGGACTCAACTGGAGATAGCGCATTTATGACGATCTTGTAAGTTACAAGTGTCTTTGGGGGTGGTAGTAACTGAATCACATGGCCTGTCTGCGATGATTGCCGCCCGTATACTATAAAAAACCCTTAAGAGATACAGGCGTAAATGAATATCTGTACAGATGTATGTAGAAAGGAGTTCAAAAGAATATAAAAGAACACTTCTTTTCAATTATTGCTGAAGAAGATAGTGGTAGTGTAACAGCCTGGCACCTCATTGTGAAAAGAGCCTAATATTTGTTTACATTAACTTACATAATATATAATAAACATTTATAATGATAAAAATTATCGTTATTTTGTATAATATGAATAGGTAAAACACCAGTTATTTTGACTACAGTTGTAATATAATTTGAATACTGCCAAAATTTATCGCAAAAAGATACGCATTGCTAGGTGAGCCTAAACTTATACATGACCTAAAGCAAAAAAACGTTCAGTATTATCACTTTGTGTAGTAAACATAACAATATTTACGAATACAATGTCACATTCCAGTAACTTCTAACTAATATTTTAGGGTTCGGTAGTCAGAACGCAGTTCCTTATATGTTTGGTTTGTCTTTTTTGAAGTCGCTTAGAGATATATAGGTGTTTAGATAGATTTTCTAGGGTATACCTGGTTCCCCGGCTATTAGTACCCGAGACGGCGTGCGGTTTTAGTCGGTTCGAGTCCGACATGCCACCGATAGGTGGTATCCGAGGGGATTTCCGCACGGAAAAAAAAGGAAAGGTGTTTAGATTGATGACAGATATTGGTGCTAATTCTATTGTTCGAAAACTCTCTAAACTAAACTAAAAATCACTAAAATAAATTTAGTCCTGCCAAATTCTACGTTTCCAGAACACGAAACGTTATTTGAGAGGACGAAACAAATTTATAGTGATTTTTGGTTTAGTTTAGAGAGTTTTCGAACAACAGATTTAGCACCATTGTAATGTACAAAGGGGGGCCTTATTGCTGAGCAATCTTCTAGGTAACCTTAGGGTGGATCAAAAGGTTTCGGAGAGACAGTACAGTTGAAGGTGCTTTTGAGTTTGGAAAGTATAGGTGCTAATGAATACAAATCATCATCACTACCAACCACCACTGCTGGACTGGTTGGTATAGGGTTTTTGGCTAGTTTTTCTTTTCTTTGCAGTGCTGTTCTCATGCGTAGTTTGCTCCCTTAGTCGGCTCTTACGACACACATGGGATGAATAGGGGTGGTGACACTCCGTATTCTTAATCCGTCACTACACAGATATGAATATTAAAAGAGATACAAATTAAATATGTATTAATATACATACATATATAAACACATATCTATCACATCACATCAACGGCATTTAAATAGTCCACTGCTGGATATATGCCTCTCCTTAGAAGGGAAGTCTTGGCCTACTACATACCTATATATACCTACATATACATACATTACGATTACTTTTTAAATAAATCACATAAGTATATAAGAAAAAAAATAACACATCATACCTTAATAAGCTTTTAAGGTTTAATTACTTAATCGGAACTCAATCGGGAATGCATTCAACAGTAAAATAATGGTCCAAATTTAGTGGCATGCAGTGCCATCTCCAGGCTCAAATCACCAGACTCTGGTTGCAGATAAATACGTTACAGATAAAGGCCTTGTAATCAAAATATAACTTTAATTTTCTTTTAAGTACATTATACAAAGTAAACTTATTGATAAAATAGGCATTTAGTTTTAATTTTAGAGACAATTACATAAATCTATACTATTTTTATAAACCTGAAAAGTTTGTTTGTTTTGTTTGTTAGCGTTAGTTTGTTTGTTTCTCAGGAACTACTGGTTCGAATTGAAACATTTTTTAGTGTTGGATAGTCCATTTGTCGATTAAGGCTATAGGCTATACTACATTGCGTTAACACCAATAGGAGTCGTGCATCAATTATAAATATTGCAAAAACGGTGAATATTTATTTTTTTGGTCTGCAATAGAAAATAAAAAATAAAAATTGTTTTAAAATTGTCATTTTTTTTTCTATAACATGATATTTTAGATTCAACTAAAACTCCTTTTGTTATCGATAAGACTTTAGCTGTTAAAGGCAGTGTATTATACATGCGTATGCAGTAACCTGCGCATGAGTTTATTTTTTATGAACCCTATCTCTGGGTATAGCAAGCTTATACTTACTTCTTAAGTTTAAGTTGTTTCTTTTTCCGTTTTTTTTTCTGATTTTTTTAAAAGACAACTGCCGCATTAGGAATATATCCTGTGTCGCGGGGGACTTTGGGAACACACGTGGTACGGACACAAAGAACACCCAGACTCAAAATAACAATTTGTGGATCACACAAAGTGTCGTCCCATGTAGGGATCGAACCCACAACACTCAGCGTAGTAGGAAGCGTCGTGGCGACCGCTTAAACTATTACGCCATCCATGCAGTCAATGACACTGTAGCTTTAATTAAATTTGTTTTACGAGTAACATCTATGAATTATCCAACTTTTTACAGCATAGGATGCAGAACTGAGTTCGTTTCACATCACATCAACAGCCTTTAATAGTCCACTGCTGAACATAGGCCTCTCCTTAGAAATTAGGTTTTGGCCTACTATACCACGCTGGCCAGACGGGTTGGTATAGGGTTTGTGTCAAGTTTTCCTTCTTTTCGCAGTGCTGGTATGGTGCGTTGTTTTGCGCTCTTAGTCGACTCTTACGACACCCACGGGATGAATTGGGGTAGTGACATTCCGTATTCTTAATCCGTCACTACACGGTCTAAAGTACAAAAATCTGGTTAAATTTTATTTTCTTACCTTTAACTTTTACACTGTTTTTTTACTGGTTTTAGATTAAGCAAGGCTAATCTAATAGTTACATACTAAATCCAGCAGGGCACTATTAAAGCCTGTTGATGATCATGATAAGATAATTTTGTGTTGAATACAGCCTCTTTAGATGCCATAAGATAAATGCTTACATCAATCTGTTTATATTGTAGTCAAATATAATTACGGTGTGTCAAGGGCGAGCTATTGATTGAACATTTCAATTCTAAGCAGGCAATCACAAACCACAATATAACCAAACCATATACCAGATAGGATAATATAACCATCAAACTGTTAATTATTATGGCTAGATTGATGAGAAAGCTTTATGGTATATGTCGTTTTATCTTTGTCTATTTGTTCATCGTATACACTAAACGGATGAATTGATTTTGATTTAGTTTTTTGGTTTGCTATATTTTAAGGAAATCTGTTCTGCCGTATAAAGACTTGAGCTATTTCCTAATCTTTATACAAATATTAGGGGTTAAAGTATAAAATTGAAACTCGTTTTTTTTTAACGGAAGTTCATATATGCCTTCACGATAGAACTCTGTGAAACTGTGTGAAAGCATTTTGTACTGCTTACTTGGAAGATTTTTTTTTTCACGTAAAAAAATGTTCAAATCACGAAAAAAATGGTAGTCCGTTGGAGCAAGGTCTGGCGAGTACGAAGGATGAGGATGCTAATTTGACGACCGGATGGCTTAGTGGTTTGTGTAACGGACTGCTAATCCAAAGGCCGCGGGTTCAATTCCCGCTCAAGTTAAACATTAATGTGCATGAACATTTAATGTTTGATTTGCTCTGGGTGTTTCTATGTATAATATGTATGTATTTATAAAAAAAATGTATAAATGTATTTATATCAGTTGTCTAGTACCCATAGCACAAGCTCTGCTTAGTTTGGGACTAGATCGCGTTGAGTGAATGAGG